TTGATGTCTGAATTATTGCCGAATTGATACTGAATTGTAAGCTGATTTATGGTTGAATTGCTTGTCTGATTGGAGTCGATTGGCATCGATTGGCATCGATTGATGTCTGAATTGTTGCTGAATTGATACTGAATTGTAGGCTGATTTATAGTTGAATTACTTATGTGATTGGAGTCGAACAGCATCGATCGACGTCTGAATTGTTGCTGAATTGAGGCTGATTTATGGTTATTTAAGTTCTGAATTGATGCCAAATGGCTATGTCCGATTGGAGTCGATTAGCGTCTATTAGCATTTGAATTGTTGCCGAATTAATACCAGTTTTAGGCTGATTTATGGTTGAATTTAAGTTCTGAATGGTCATGTCTGATTGGGATCAATCAGCGTATATCGGCACTTGTTTGTGCTGATCAGAAAATATGGCAAATTGAACGTAAATAGTATCAAAACAGCCTAAAATCAGCTATCTGATTTTTAGCCGATTTGGACTATTTTGACTAGTGAGTAATATAATGAAATTAAAATATTATCTTATAGTGATTTATTTATTTTATAATGTAATATACTATTAACATTTTATTATTTTTTTTTTGTATAATTTATCTTAAAATCAAATTATTTTATGTTCTCTTATTTTTCAACTAATAAAATATAACGTGTTATTTAAAAGATGAACTAAAAGAAATAATTCATAATGTAATTAATAAAGTAAAAAATCTTTATCAATAAAGTTCAAGAAAGTATCTGAAACTTATTAATATTTTTTTGAAGATTAGTGATTATTATTTTATTAGATATATATTTTTAAATGATAATTATGTAGAAAGATATTCTATATTTAAACTAAACAAGTACTTATAGCTATGTGAATACAAGCTTAGATTAATTGTATTAATTCTTTAAATACATAGAAGTAGAATTTAGTTCTAATTTGTGAAGAAAAATATACTATTCATGTATATTATTAGTTATATATAAATTATATATAATTGATAATTTACATGAAATATTCAGATGAGAGTGTACACATATTTTCTATTATTAAAATTTTAGTATAAATATTAATATAAGATTTTTGTGCTAATTTGATGAATATATATAAAGGTGAAAACAGTCTTTAAAGTGTTTAAAAATCAAAATAAGAACTGTTTTTAAGAAATAAAATTGAGATAAACTTGTATAAATTAAAACTTAATTTTAAAAAGTAATATATTACAGTCAATTTTTGATATAATGAACTCTTAATATAACGAATTTTTAAATAAATATAATAAAAATACTTTTATTATAGTGAATTAGTCAATTAAATCTCTTAAAATCTTCAATATAGCCTTATAGCGAAATTAAAGTTTAAGATATAAAGTTCGTTATAATAAGAGTTGATTATATATATTTTATTTTTAAATATAAAAATTTTAATATAAAAATTTATTATATTTTCTTTGCTTTAATTTAGTATTAGAAAATTAGATAATTTTGAATAGTTTTAGATAGTTTTAAATAGGTTATAAACACATTTTCTATGTTTAAAACCTTGTCTAAATTATTTAAAATTAAAAATATATCTAAAATTTTAACTTAATATTTAGAGAAATATAATTGAAATTATAAATGAATCTTTAATATCATTAGAATTTCTATAGCATTATATTTATAAATAAATAAACTAGTATTTTTAAAAAAAAGATATAAAACTTTGCAATTATATTAAAAAATTTCTTTTAGAAGAAGTTAAATAGAAAAACAAGCTTTAAAATTTTTGTATTAGAAAAAATTAATGAAATAGATTATGTAATAAATTATTTATAATTAAAATAAAGATTTAATAATATTTTTTAGGTTTTCTAATATGATATAATTAATAGTAAAGGTCTGAAGTTTATTGCAATATTTTTTCTTCTCATATAATTCTCATATAATAATAACTAATTTTATATTATGTAATAATAGATCTAGAAGTATGTGAAAATGAAAACCTAATATGATTTTGCAATATAAAGTTCAATATGCTTATCAAAAATGAGTTTTAAGAAATTAATTTGGATTATATTTTAGATTATAATTGCATTTAAAGATCTATGTTTACTTTTGAAGATAAAAGTTATTAATTGATACAAAGGCATAGCATAGAAATGCAAATACAAATTTACAAGTTTTAAATATGATATTAGGTAATATGCAAGTGAGAATACTAATTATAAAAAACGTAAGAGAGAATAAAAATGAAACTTAAAGAAATAATTATTGAGAAGCCTTGAATTTGATTAACAATAGGTATTGGAAGTTTTTTGATATCAAATCAGAACCTTTTATAAAAATGCCTCAATATTTGTAAGGAATTATTTCAAAATAGAAATTATGATATAATGGACGCTCGCACCTTTAAATGGTATTTGAATGACGATGGTTTGTTAAAATTTTTAGAGCATTTTTTAAAAAAGGTTGCAAGGGAAAAAGGATTTTTAAGCCAAAAAAAATAACTTTTAAATTGAGAGTTACTTTAATTAACGATTTGATGATTTTGATTTATACATTTTGATGAAAAATAACATTTTATGTAGTACAAAGATAAATTTAATTTCGGGAAAAGTTTCCGGTCAAGGGTTATTAAAAGATTGTTATTTCAAAACTTTTATTAAAGAATTCATCTCGAAATATAATGTCTAAACAATAAGATATTTGGATGCATAGTTTAGATTCGCTTAATCTTTTAAACAAAGTGTGATATTTCTCTTTTTTTTTTTATTCTCTCTAATAAAAAACATTTACATATTTGTTTAATTGACAAATTAAAGTTATACGATTAACATACAGATAACCAAAATCAAAACTTTCGTGAAATGTAGTATCAAAATAGGGTTTAACATTTATTTTCTAGAAATGGATAACTTTGGTAAATTTGTTGCGTTAACTGCGTCGGACATGTTAAACACTGAAGACTCTAAGCCTTAATAATCCCGACAATGCCCGTGAACGGGTTGTTTTTACGTGATTGTAAATTATTTAATCCCATGATCAAGCTAACCCAAAAGAAATGTTTGGGTATGATTGTTTTATGTAATAATTACCGTATATACTCTTTTTATTTACTAGTCCACATGTGTCAGCTGTGAGAAAATAATAAATTTTATGAACATAAATAAATAACTCCTTTTTCACTTCATTTTCCAAAGTAGCAAAAAAATAAAATAAAAAAAATATGAATATATTAAGTGATTCAATTGCAGCTTTATCACCGGATGAACTGAACGCGGAACACAAAGTTCTCGCTGAATTCGCGAATTTAACAAATTCTCAAGTATATGAACATATATTTAGTCAACGAATGATGTTGCCAAAACGAAATGTCGCAAGCCTTCATTCTGCATCCGATATATTAGGGACAGATTCGTGTGAACTTATACTTCCAACCCTTCACGAAGCTTTGCAAACCGAATTATTTCATACAGCGGATTCACCCGAGTTTCATCTGTTGGATATCGGGGCGAGCGCTGGTGAAATCATCGATTGGTGTCTTGCCAAAGAACTTGAAAAGAATATTCAATTAAATAGACAAAATATTATACACGTAGTCGAACCAAATTCCATGTTATTAAAAGCTTATCAACAAAAGATATGCGAGTTCCCTCATCTGAACCAAGGAATTGTCTATAACGGAAGGGTACAAGATTACTTTGTTAACCACCAAATTGGTGATTTTGAGACGCCTTTGCCCCTTACTCCCTTGGACTTTATTAATGGTCTACATGTGATTAATTACCTGTAATTTTTTATTTTAAGGATCTTCATTTTGTTTTTTCTTGAAAAGGAAAATTTATTTAAATATTCACTGAACACAACCTTTTTTTTTTTTTTCGGTAAATTTCCCCAATAATAGGGTCGATATAAATTCTCCAAGTATCGATCCATCAAACGACATCATTTCCTTTTCAAAATTTCTCTATTCACTTTTGAAGCCAGGTGGTACGATTTACTTCGCACATTACAATATACTGGGTTCTCTTAGCTTTGATGATAAAGAAATATTTCAAAAGGCTCAACAAATAATTTCTTCAAGGAATTCTTTATTATTTGAAGGAGAAATTATTGATCACCTTCACTCTTTAGAATTGAACGAATTTGAAGTAGATGATGATAGTGATGATGCAACATCGTTCGAAATTCACAAACGTAAAGTTAAAACCATACCAACATTTAATTCATATAGTTTACCCAGTTCATTTTACGCAAGATCTTTAGCCGATATGGCCGTCCTCTTATTGGCTGGTCAATTAACAGATGTTAACGAAGGAAGGTTTGATACTAAATTGTTGGATGATGTCTTGCGGCAAGTTAAAGAAGCCGCTTTGACTCCCGTCGGAATGAATGAAAAGAAAAGATTTGGGCTGACGAGATGTCTGAGGGGAGGTGAAATGGTTTGGAAAGTTGACTTTCCATTAATTATTAGCATAATTCGGAAGGAAAAGGTTCACGTGTGAAAAATGTTGATTTGGTCCAACATTCTGTTCATTGAAAGTTTTATTTAAATATAAACAATCTTTACTATCAAAACTTTTTTTTTTTTGTTAATTTATTTCCTAAAAAATATTTTATCACCGTTTAAATAAAGAATAAAAAAGAAAAAAATTGTGCAATATCTTAATTGACATAAATTTCGCCCCAACTAGGACTCGAACCTAGAACCTCCGCCTTAGGAGGGCGACGCCATATCCATTAGGCTATTGGGGCTTTTCATGTTGCTGTTGTGTTCAATAAATATAACATAAGAATTCTTATACAAATGCGGTCCTCCGTGAGAGGATAATTCACTCTTGATCCGTCTTACGCAACGCAGAATAAGCTATCTTTTAATTATACGACAATGCGTGATTTGAGATTACATAAAAAACATTGGATTTATATAGAAATGGGATACGCGTGGAGAAAGTTGCTCTACCGACGAAATGCATGGCGTTAGAACTAAATACGCCCAAGCCTCCACCTCTGACATAAATCAAAAAATGATGGTATTCTATTATTTATGTACGATGACGAATTTATGATCTTATCATCATACTTTGGATGATCCAAGTAAGTAAATATGGGTAAGAAAAGGTATCATACAATAAAAAAACAAGTACATTAATTATTCAAACTGTTATGTAAATCCCCACTTTTTTCAATTCATAATACCCAACCCACAAAAAAAAAGAAGACCTTTTTTTATCAATGTAGATTTTGCCTATGAGGGATTTTTTTTTTTTTTAAGGGAATTGTATGCGAGTAAAAAAGATTTCCTTTTGGGATAAACAATAGTTAATGATTATCATATTATCTTAACTTCATTACACTAAAATAGATTGTGACACGAATACTTGAATTTGTTAGAGTTCATCATGTGAAGATCTTTTTGATTGTATACCTTTTTTTTTTCTCCAACTTTCCGAAGATTCGGGTTTTTTTTTTTTAAATTATCAAGTTACCAATAAATATTTTTAATTTAAGTTATATATAATATATTTATTCAAGGACGTGCGTTGCTCAACCTTTTTTTTTTTTTTTTAAAAAAAAATTCAATTGCCTGCCTTTCCTTACATTACAATTACATAAAAAAAATTTTTTTGTCTTCTTTAGTAGAAATTATTATAATTATGGACGAACCAACGCCAAGTTTAGTTGAATTAGAAAAGCAAACGGCTTTTGGAAAAAGAGAATTAGAGGAAATATTAAATGGTTTTTCACGGTCATTCCGTCACGGTCTTGATAAAGATGAGAATACAATGATCCCTTCCTTTGTTTGTCGGTTACCAACTGGTACGGAAACTGGTACATATCTTGCCTTAGATTTGGGTGGGACCAATCTACGCGTGGCAGCTGTTACTTTACTTGGTGATGGAAAAACAGAAATTGAACATAAACAGTATCCTATACCTGAAGAGTTAAAGAACGGTGATGCTGAATCTTTTTTTAATTGGATTGCTGATGGTACTAAAAGTTTGTTGGATCTGCCTGGAGTTAAAGCCAAAATCGCCGATAAAGAGTTGTACATGGGCGTAACATTCAGTTTTCCGATCAAGTAAGTATCGAATTCTCAATCAAACCAAAATCTCTCCTGTGCAAGTGAATCAAGTAAATTTATTATAATCTTTCATTGTTAAAGGCAAACTAATATAGATAAAGGCAAAGTGATGAAGATGGGCAAGTCATTCAATGTCTCCGGTTTGGTGGATCATGATGTAATTGAACTCTTACGAGATGCTTTCGATCGTCAGGTAAATATTCTTGATCCTACATGTACAGTATTACTTTTTTTTTTTTAATTATAATAATAAAATTTACATGTATATTTCTAGGAGATAAAAGTAAATATTCCA